CAGGCTAGCATTTAACTTGCTACATATGTACATAAGAGATGTTGTTTCTTTCACGATGTATATCATGTTATATACAATATCAAATAAAAGAAATGATGCTTACCTATGAGGAGAAATCCAAAAAAAAAAAAAAGTTTTATATTTAATACTTGTTATAACTTTTGGTTTTTTTAAAAAAAACTAATTTAAAATAATAATAATAATAATATTATTATTATTTTATTAAATTATATTTAAATATTTATTAATAAAAGGCTTAATAATAACAAATAATAATAATAAAAATCAAAAATTTCAAATAAATGATTTTCTTGTAAATCTTATTTTTTATTTATAAAAAACTTAAATGGAATATAATAATTATAATTTATTTTTCATATTAAATTGTTTTTAAATCTTAATTCTAAATAAGTATTTTAATATTTTAATATTATTTGACTATTTATTTGTATTATTTAAAACTTTTCTTTTCCATATTTATTAAATGATTATTATAAGTAAACTAATATAAAAAATAATATTTTTTAAAATATACAGTATATTATATAATATAAATAAATAAATAAATATTTTTTTATATTAATTCGACATTAAATATTTTTTCTATAATATAAAATCAATAATATAATTGATTATTAAAAAAATCAAATAATTTTTAAAGAAAATAAAAAAAATATAATTTTTATCTTTAATAATAGTTGAAAAAAATTTTTTTATATTATTAAGTGAAATAGAAACTTTAGAGAAATCAAAAAAAATCAATAGTTAACCTTCTTTAAATATGATGAAATACTGTAACACGTTATGGAAATACTTTAAAATGTAACGTGGGAAAAAATAAATTGACATCGGCGATCATTAAACCGCAACATGCTTGTTCTCACCTGACCTCTTTTTATATTAAAGTTATACTTTTCATGTGGTTGAACCTTTGTTTACATTTCTCCTTACTCGCAAAAGAATGACTTTAATCGACGAAAATGTACCAGGTAAAAAATTTTGAAAGTCTAAACATTTTGATCTATGTATATTCACTCTTTCATTATTACCTTAGACATGGTGGCTCTTGGGCAAGCCATGACCACCGCCATTGAGCGGTTTTCAAAATTTAAAAGCGTTAGAATCAAAAATAGTAATGAAGCAGCAAAAAGGGTTGAAGAAATTAATACACAACGTCTAAAATTCAGGGAATTTGCTAGTGACTCTATAAAACAAAGTAGCAAGTTGTCGAGATATGCTGAAGGTAAAATGATGATATCTAAACTGTCGCAAGTGAAACGGACGCTAATTCTGCGTGTCTTAATTTCAGATGTCTTGGATTTTGCTGAATGTTGCATGGATAATAGATTTTCAAAGGAAGATCTCCTTAAGTTATTGAAATTACGTTTAAATGATGCCAAACAGAATAGAGAGATGACCGAAGAGTTACAATTGAAAATTAAACACATTATCGATGACTTGAAAGTTATCAACACGCATTTGGTAAAATATGTAGACGAAATTAAGAAGAATCCAAGGTTACTAGATTCAGAGACGGAAAAAAAATTATCAGAGAAAGAGGCAGTCAAAGAGAGATTTTCTGTGTCGTCAAAAGCAAATGCATCAATAGCGGCTTTTGGAATTATCGCCTCCTGCATTGCCGCACCTTTCAGGTATTATTTAGTTATGAAAGTTTATCATAGCTTCATTGTAAACTAATAAGAAAACTCATTTTAGTGGTGGAACATCAGTGGCAGCTGCAATTGCAGCAACTTGTGTTGACGCCGGAATATTTGTGACTACAGCGGGATCTTCTTTAGCATTGGGTACTGGACTACTAGCAAATGCTGAAAGTAGTAAAATCTCGAATCTTGATAGAAAACTAAAATCTGAAAGGGACCGGTTGATCGACGATATTCGGGGGCTGAACGAGGGTCTTATCGACATTGTAGATACTTGTCGTAAATTTTCAAGTTTTTGGGAAGAGCAAACTGAAGTAATTATTAATTTTATTAACAAACTTGAGTCACTGAACGATCAAGGAGGAATTCAGAGTAACAGGATGATTTCTAATGCCTTCTTGAACAAGTGGAAAAATGTGGATAAAACTTGCAAAGAATTCAATCGTCAGATTTGGTCACAACTTGATAGTGACACATTATTGAGAATTGAGGTAAATTAGTAATTTTTTGCATATATATATATATTATGTTTTGTGTCTGATGTAATAACCAATGGTTTGTTTTTAATTAGTAACAGAAATAAAGCGTTTGCATTTATTTCCGTAGTTTTAAGTATTTTTAAATTCGTATTATATACAGATTACTTCATCACACTTGTATTTTTTTTCCTTTAATAATAAATCAAATTTATCGCGACAATACCTTCGACGATAACTTGGTCATGAGTATTGAAATAGGAACTTACTTTTCACGATTCATAAATAATCAACTCTATTTACTTGGAAAAGGTTTGTTTGTGGCATTGAGAGATATAATTCGTTGATAAGATCAGGTATCATAAAGAAAACGTGAAAAACGACCAAAAAATTTATGCGTAATAAATTTCTTTGCAAAACTCTTTAATAGGATCATAATTCAATTAACGTGTTGAATGAACATTAATGTTCATGAAACCTTTTAACCATCTTTTTTTAAAGAGGATTTCTGATTTAATAACATACACCACTTCGATGTGTAAGAATTAGTCTTTTTTACATCTTCACATCTTTCTACAAAAATCACGATTGAGAATAAAGACATTGTAGCTATTCTGTTTACTATGAATTCAGATCAGTCTTCCAATCGATGTTATGCTCCTGCCAATAATTATAATTAACACATGAACACTGGATTTTTTTAACCTATTATTTTGCGTGTACTCTTTGTCCAAAAGGTTTAAGCTTTTCAGTTCCCATCCAATTTTATCAGCTTCCACCTTAGGAATGTTTATCAAAAATCCCGAAACATCGTAGAAGCGGATTGAAAGACAGTGAAATAATACTCATAATGTGAGCTTATTTTGAAGAGAATCTATTTTCTCTATAACTTCCGGAACAGACTTTCTCGACTTGATAGGATCAATAAATAGAACGTTTTTTGTTTTTTCTAGATCTGTTTTACTATCTTTGTATCTTTCTAATATTTTAACGATCCTCACATAATTAAAATTTGTTCCGTATCAATCCGAATATCTGAATAACTTTTGAGTATCGTCAATCTATTATGTATTCTTATAAAGGTGTAACACCAAATTTTTTTGTGATTAGCGATCATGTCTGTTAACTTCGAACTTTGGCAGAACCCTGGAGTTCCAGACCTTACTATACTTGAAAATCTAATTGAGGTGACTACAAAAAACTTTAAAAAAGCAAGAGAATTGAATATTAGGCTTGACATTGGAGACGATTACATAAATGAACAGAGTAAATTATATAACAATATTATTAGCAGGAGAGCAATTTTATCGTTGGACATGAAAAGTTACGCAGGAGAAGTAGGAAGTTATATGGATTCTCTTTCTTCAGGAAAATTTGATATCAGTACTATAACACAAACATTAGAATTATTATTAAACGACGCCGAAAGAAATGCTGAAAAAGCTTTTCGCTTAAAAGAAGAATTTAACGTGTTTAAAGAAGAATTTAATCGACTTCATTCTAATTCACAAATGATCATGGATACTGGAAATGATCCTGGTTTTCCTACAAAAGAAATTGCAAAGCACTTATTCAAAATCCTATTTTATGGCCTCGCAGTTTGGTATCTTCCATCCTGGGCTTCTATTCCTATTTTTCATTCGACACTCAACGAACATGTAGATGCAACAAATGAAGACTTTTCTCGTCGTATCGTACCAGCTAAGTTTTCTGAACAGCACGTAGGTGAGGAAAGCCCTTTCGAAAATGCTGAAAGAGAATACGTTCCAGTTCAAACTAATCTTGATAATACCTCGGGACCAAAGCTTGAATCTAAGTCATCGGAAACTATTGATGCCACAAATTCACAAAGAACCTCAATCTCTAGTGATTTTGCACCAATTAACTCATTCAAGAATTTCGGTTATGTATCGTTGATTAAAGAAAAATTATTACCAATAACCGTTGTAGTTGCATTCTATCTTCTATACAACAAGGATCAAATAACATCAGTAATAAAATCGGTTAAAGACAAACTATTTGGCAATAAGCATGAGTCAATTCCCGAGAAAAGCGAATTTTATCGATGCACTGAATCCATCAAATATAAACTTCCGGCAATTGACCATAATTTAACTATTTTGAACGACTTCTGGAAATCTGAAATTAAAATTATTAACGGAAATCTCAACGAACTGAAACCGCTGAATGAAGACATGGAAGTTCAGCTACCAAGTCAGCTAGGAAAAAAGATAAAACATGTCTGGAGAGAGATCGAAGAACAATGTTCGATGAATCACAGAAAGTTGAACTATATTATTACTAATAATTCTATGTTGGGCACTTGATGTAATTATTGATTTTTTTTTTTTAATTCTTAGTTCTTCGACTATAATAACTTCATTAACATTATAAATACTTCTTTTTTTTTTTTAGACGAAATTTAGTAAATAATGAATGCACCTATCCCTGTTATATGAGAGTTAATATTTTTATTCTAAATAAAAGTTAACTTTGGACTCTGATGGCTAATTATTTAGGCGTTTTTATCATCACTGTACGTCGTAATTTTAGAGACTTTAGAGTATAATGTATTTTGATGACATTGTCTCAATAATGCGATGCGTACTTTTGAGGGATCAAAGAGCAAATAACGAATGCATGAATTTAGTATTTGTATAGGTTTATGTCAATGGGTAAAATAATGAGATTATAACTACCTGCGGCATCTTAAGCGATGATTATTAAACAAGCATACCAAAAATAACTATCCTTACATTGTAATATTATAACGAGCGCATCAAATGACTGTGATTAACATTTGATAGAAATTTAACAATTAAAAATTGACAAAAAATTAGTATATAGCAAAAAAAAAAGTGTCTGCATATATTTTTTTATGGTAAAATATTGAATGTAAACATTGAATAACGAATTTGTTATATAAATTATTTTTGATTTTCTTATAAGATCCATATAAACTTCAAATTTTTTACTGAAATTATAAAAAATTTCCAAGACTTTTTTCATAATCAAATAAACATAAAAATTAACCAATAGTAAGTACACAATTACATTTTTAAATCAAAAAAATTCTATATTTGATTTGTCAATTTTAAAAAAATGTTTAAAAAAAAAGAAAAAATATAAATTACATTGTAAAAAAAATTGTTGTTTTTTTAATATATACAATAGTTAAATTATGTTTTTTTAAAAAAAACAATCAATCCATTATTATTTTAATAAAGATATTATTTATATTTAGCAAAATGGTATGATATTTTATAAAAAACTACAATTTAGCAAACTTATATATATCTATAATCTATTAATACAATTCTTATGTTTAATTAATTTCATTGTATTAAAAGATTTTTAAAATCTTAAACTTTTATATATCAACAAGTTTGAACAAATAAACATTTTTAAAAAAATTTTAAAATTATTGTTAAATTATTTAAATTTATAGAAAAAAGAAAATTTTTAATTAATAATTAACGAATTTTTAAAACAATCTAAAAATTATAGTTTAACTAATTTTTAATGATAAAAAATTTTGAGTATCCTTTATTAAAATTATTAATTCCATTAATAAAAAAGTTATAAATAATTTACAATAATTTAAAAACAATTACAAATCATTTCTAAAAAATATTTCACAAATGTATAATTAATTAAAACCGTTTTTTTTAAATAAAAAAAAAAAATTATTTATTTAACAATATCAACTTTTTAATTTATAATATACCAATATATCTAATTGCTAATATAAATTATAGAAACAATTCATTTTTTTTCAAATAACAAAATATTTAACTTTTTTAATATTATTTATTCATTTTTTTTTATTAAAATTATATATACTGTATTTAACAAGCAATAAATCAATATATATAATAATATTTTTTAATATTTTAATATTAATTATATAAAAATTATTTTATTGTATTAATAAAAAATTATAAATAATATCTTATTTGATTTTAAAAAATAAGAAATCTTATAAAATTGATATGAAAAATTAGTCAATAAATAAATAAATATATATATATATTTTAAGTAAATAAGTTTATAAAAAAAGAAAAAGCTAATAATATATATTAAATATTAATTTAATTTATAGTATGTAAATTATTTTTAAAAAATCCAATTATATTTATCAATAATAAGAAAATTCAAATATTAATTTCAAAATTATAATTTTAATTAAATATTAAGAATAATATTAAGAGATAAAAATTAGAAATATCTATTTAATTGTTTAAAAACTATTAATGATTATTAAATTAAACCAGTTTTTTTAAATAATAAAAAGAATTTAATAATTTTTAAAAAATAGGATTAAATCTTTATATCATATGCAAGAGCCTGAGAATATAAGAATTGGATAAAAGAAAATTGATGTCATGTTTTTTGAACTAAGAAATTCTTAATTGGCATTAATTAATTTGAAAAAATTTGCAATGTATAATCCTATCCTATAATCTTGATTGCATATAAGAAATGGTTAAAAGCCAGTATAAATATATTATTATTTGAGGATATATTAATGAACAAGACTTAACTTATTTAATCTATATCTCATCTTAAATAAATAATGAATATATAAATGCTTATTTTAGATATAATTTATTCAATAATTATTACGAAGATATATCAAGAAGATAATGTTTCTATTCATAAATGTAATCTTATAAAGAAGCTCAAAGAAGATTTGGAAATTATAATTATGGAATGACTATCCCAGTTATCAGATCTAAATTTGATTAAGAATATTTGGAAAAAATTAAAAATTGGATTTATAAAAGTTGAAATTTATATATAGACGCGGATTTGGAGGAAGCTGTTTATGCTGTATGAAATGCTATTGCATTTAAAACAATTTAGACTTTGTAAATTAAATGTCTAGACATGTTTAAGAAGTTAATAGGAAAATGGATATGCGACTCATTGGTATTTTTTAAAAACAAAGTTTATTATGGTTTTGTTTATAGGCGTTATAAAAATCATTGAGAAGATGCATGAAGATCTACTTACGTACGTACAGTATATGTATCATGGTATTGTAATTTAAAAATTACGTATATTTAGATAATACATAATTAGCGTTTGTGACACCGTACAGAATTTGACAGGCCATTTTAACCATATAAGGATACAATAACGGTTCTGTTTTAATATAAAATACCGTAATCATCAAATCATTTCCGGCACCGTCTATTTATTCCTTCGCAACAGAAAATTTATACGTGTAAAAATCAGTAGCATAAACCTTGAAAGTATGAGTGGCAGAACCATTGGATCAAGAGGGAATCGTGGTGGCAGAGGTCAACAACGTTCACAAAATCTTGGTGAACGCCATCCACATCCACAAAGGCAAAATCGAGCAGTGTCTCCCTCGCGCCTTGAGGAAGTAAGAAACGAACAAATTCAAGCAATATCCAGTTGTTTTAATTCATCCGAATTGTCATATAATGGGAGCGATGCTGTAATCTCCATCCTTCATAGTGAACCTTATAAAAGAACTTGGAGGAGATTAATTAAAAATGAATTTATCCATCAGCATCAAATGAGGCGATTCATAACATCATGCATTATTGATGCTAAGAAAGTCGGCTATGAATTAGAGGAACTTGTAAAGGAATTAGGTTCCTCGAACGGAATAGATAGAATCCGAGAAATTGTGGCCTACCCAGTTTCGGTAGACGCAGGAAGTAGACCAAAAGTGGCATCATTTCAACGCGTGACCTTACCTCTTTTGGCACTTTTGACTCGTAGTGGAATTATTGAATGCAACCTTGATAAAAAAATCAATAGCATTTATCTTGTCGTCTATAATAATTTGGTACTATGTCTGGTTTTGATGTCTACTCTATTTATTACATTGAAATAGAATTTTGTTTGGTAATTCTGTTCGACTATTTGTAGGATTCTTTTGTGAACAAAGTCGTAATGTCTAATCTTCAAGTTTTGGTGGAAAGGAGAGACGTTTCTGATCATCAAAAAAATCAAAATGCTTTACTTGCTGATGATCCCGATGCATTTATCCCTACGTCGTATGTATGAACATAATTCTACGTATTTTGAAGAATGACATTTTTGATAAAAATTGCATACATTCTTTTTATATAGTCTCGGGCAATTTTTTTTGGTTATTGTTCGATTGATCAACGAATTTTTAAGGCGTATCAAGTCTTCATCATTTGATGAAACCATTCACCAAATAGCAGAGAAAATTGAAAGACTCAAGAACGAGTGGCACGAGTCGTTAGATCAACAGGTTAACGCTTCCGATCCGCTCGCAAATGACACAAAGTGCCGAGATTATTTCTTTCTAATTTTAGATAAAGATATTGAACGCATGAAGAATATGTTAAAGAAGACAGTAGACAAAACTCCAAAAGTATCATCCAACAGTGATATAAGTCGTTTTCGTAATGTATCCCGATTAGTAGACTTAAAGAGGATTTATGATCCACCGGGTTTGTATTTTTATATGAATAACCTTTTGCTGTCATTATATCCGTTTGAATTCGTTGTGATTTTATTTCATTTAAAAGGTGAACTTTCGCCAGATGGCATGCGTCACGATAATGACTTTAGTGAAATCACTAAAATATCTATCATTCCTACCAAGGAAGAAACTTTATGCGGGCGCGAACCATTTTTACCCGTTATCGATGAAGACGATAATTTGCATCACTTGCCTAAGGGTGTCGCTCGTCTTCTTGATAGACAATTTCGTTTGCTCAGGGAGGATATGCTTAATGCTTTTCGTTTAAGTATCAAAAGCTTTATTAGCTTTCTTAGAGAAGCAGGTAAAAATGATGAAAAACTCATAACTCAAGGTGGAAGATACAAGCATCAAGGGGATGGGAATTTAAACGTTTACACCAATGTAAAGTTATCTGAAATTGTTATAGACATGCAAAAAGGTTTTGCTTGTCGGGTTACATTCACTCCACCCAACAATAAAAAAAGTTTTAAAGAACGCGAGGCATATTGGAGGAAAGCGAATAGACTTATGTCTGGAAATATGGTTTGTCTTCTTTGGCCAAACGAAGATAATTATAATGAGAAAAAAGATATTAGCGCAACCGATTATTCCATATATTTTGGCATAGTCGCTAATAGGGACGAGAAGATGTTAGCAAAAGACTCAGGAATTGCAAAAGTCGACATTACTTTTATAGATGTTTCCATTTATTCGATGGCTATGAAAGAAATTTCGAGTCAGCATACTTCCAACAGAACGGTTAAACAACGTTTCATGGTTGAGTCGACAGATCTTCTTTTCGAAAGCTATAAAAATACATTGAAGACTCTTCAAGAAGCTCAACCTGAAGATTTTCCCTTCGCAATGTATTTTGCTACGAAAATGGAAGGCGACATGTCTAATATTGTCGCCAACGTTGACCCGCCTATTTATTCTAGGGCCCCTGGCTTTAAATTTGATGTAAGGTTTTAGCTTAGATGACTAATTTTTATTACAGATTTTTATATTGATTTCTATTTTTCAAAAGCTTTCAGTTTTACTCGGAGGCAGCGTAAACAGAAGATTGCTTTTGGATGTCAGAAATAGGCGATCTGAAAACGATGCCATCGAAGACCTGAAAGCCCGCACCACACTTGACGAAACTCAAGGTGATTTATTTTGAAATGCGAAATTGATAAAGTTGATTCTATTGAAATAACAATCTGGTCGTTATACTACATAATAGCACAAGCGCTTGTCTCAGCTTTAAGTCGCGAAGTTGCATTAATTGAAGGTAGGTAAGATTATGTATATAACTTTCTTTGAATATTAAATTTGAGAGAATTTACAATTATCAGGGCCTCCTGGCACGGGAAAAACGTTTATTGGCGTGCAAATTATGCGTGTGTTGTTGGCCAACCGCAAATCTAGTAAAATCGGGCCAATTCTAACAATCACTTATACCAACCATGCGCTGGACTCATTTTTATTAAGTAATTTCTACCGTTTTCGTTGGTACTCTGAATTTCTCTACGCCCTAATGTATTAAACCTACTGAATTTTTCGTTGTAATTTTAGGCCTTCTGGAACATAAAATAGATAACATTGTACGAATGGGCTCAAGGTCGAAATCTGATGTTATTATGGAATTTCAGATTGATGCTATTTGTCGTAGACGTAACGATAAGAGTCGAAAGATGTTATTGGGCCGTACCTATCGAGAACTTAAGCAAGTCGAAAAGGAAGCGAAAAAATTTACGGAAAATCAAAAACTTAGGTGGATTAATTGGAATCACCCGTTGGTCGCTTCATATTTGATGGATAATTTTTACGAACATTATAGAAACTTAATGATACTTCCGAGAGTCCTAAATAACAGAACCAGTCGCAAGGAAACCGGTACATCAAATAACAAAGTAGAAGGCGTAGAAGATAATATGCAAGATAGCGGAACCGAGGATATGGAAGACAGCGAAACCGAGGACATGGAAGACAGCGAAACCGAGGACATAGAAGACAACAGAATAAATAACGAAACCAAGGACGTGGCAGACAATTCATTAAATAACGGAACCGAGGATATGGAAGGCAGCGAAACCGAGGACATAGAAGACAGTAGAATAAATAACGAAACCAAGGGCGTGGTAGACAGCCCATTAAATAATAGAACCGAGGACGTGGAAGAAAATCTATTAAATGAAGACACGAACGATAGTCAGGATGAATGGCAAACGGTTGGTGACAAAAAACGAAAAACATCAAATTTTGAACAATGGATCCAGGGAGTAGATTTGCGAAGGGCTAAAAAATTAAAAGAAAGTATGAATAAACCTAAGAAAAGAAGTGTAAAAGTTAAAAACATATATGAAGCACTCTCAGGTGCGAGCGATGGCAGCAATGTTGACAATTCCGACAATACTGTCGATCACGGATTCTATAACTGGCTTGATTCATGGAAGATGCCCCAACGTGAAAGGAGTTTAGAGGAGTTAAAAGTATCTAATCTGTTAATGGCTATCAGCAAGTATATTTAACAATATGTTTACTAAGAACTTTGTCACAATTTTCCGATAATTAGGTTGATTGCGATGTTTGGAATATGTCTAAAAAAGAACGTGTGATTTTGCATGATTTTTGGAGAGAGGAGATCTATTCGGAATCTATTGAAGAGCTAGAAAGAATAAGAAATGAGTACGACCAACTAAAAAGCGAATTCGATAAAATACGCAATGAAGGTGAGCTTCACTTTTTATCACCGCACCTAAAGTAAATATTCATGCCAAAGATAAATCAGTTATGCTACATTCAACTTTATAATATTCAAGAACGACGCGACATTATAACTAAATGTGATGTTATTGGGATCACTACAAGCGGAGCCGCAAAGTATCACGAACTCATCAGGTATAATTCATTTTAATTAATAAATTCTATATATCTCAACACTTAAATATAAATAAAATCCGAAATTTGCATTCAGGTCGATTGGACCAAAAGTCGTCATTTGTGAAGAAGCCGGTGAGTTACTTTATAATCTATTACAATGTGGCGTTTTCGTTTTAAAATACTTCACTGATTGAATTGATATTGCGATTATTAGGTGAAGTTTTGGAGGCACATATTCTAAGTAGTCTGACACCGTCCGTACAACATATTATTCTGATAGGAGATCATAATCAACTGCGTCCTAAAATTTGTGATTATTTAATTCCTTTTCCCTTTACTTTAACCTTAAGTTATTTCCTGTTGTTTTGGCTAACCCTTAATATCGTTTTCATATAAAATCCTGTATAGGCACTGTAAGTATGTTGCTTAAATACGATACATCATTGCCTCTCATATTCACGTATACCCTTTCATATAGTATGGCCTCTCCGTCGAATCGAATGCTGGGAAGAGCTATGGTCTGGATATTAGTTTATTCGAACGTCTCGTACATGGAAGGAATTCTTGCATGAAGGTAGAAGCAACACAACTTTTAACTCAACGACGTATGAGGAGGGAAATTGCAGATTTGGTCAGGGAAACTATCTATCCAAGTTTAGAAGATCATGAACGAACGTTGTATCCTGATGTTCGCGGCGTGCAATCAAATGTTTTCTTTATCGACCACCGAAATCCCGAAGATTCAACGAAAAGCGAATTTGCTCTTCAGTCTCATTCCAATAAATATGAAGTTCAAATGGTTGTCGAAATGGTGAAGGTAAATGAACAAATATAAATCATACACATAGGAAGAAATCTTAGATTTGAGTCAAACATTGCTAAATTGTAAAATAGTACTTTGTTAGGAACGGATATTCAAAGGCTGAACAGATTGCTGTTCTTACTCCGTACCTAGGTCGGTAATAATGTCATTGTTTATAAGGAAACTTTATTTTCTTGGACATGTTATTCGAATATTTCTTTCCAATCTTTCACTAGGACAAATGATAAAGATAAGGGACGCTTTGTCGAGTTCATTCATGGTCGTTATAGATGAACGTGATAGTGAGGCGCTTGCAAATTTCCAAGATCAATTGGAAGATAATGAACCATTAACCGTAAGCACGGCATCTAAGAAAAGGCTAACCCAACAGGTTGTAGTGATGATAGTGCATTTTTTATCTCTGACGTTTAAATTCTTTCTAACATTTATGTTATATACAAGGTTGTGCTACGCACTGTTGACAATTTTCAAGGTTACCCTATTGAAACTTAAGATATAGTTTGCAACGTAAAGTTTTACGTACTGTTTATATAATATTATTTTGTTTATTTTATGTAGGTGAAGAGGCGGATATTGTTATTATTTCTCTTGTCAGAAATACCATAAATCAAGATGATCGAGGGTCCATAGGCTTCTTAAAGTCGAAAAATAGAACAAACGTTTTGCTTTCGAGAGCTCGGCACGGCATGTATCTTCTCGGCAACGCTAGGCTTATGAAAAATGAGTCTAAAATGTGGGCCGACGTGATTGAAATTCTTGAATCCCGGCAACCATCACAAGTTGGTCCTGGACTTCCAATTGTATGTGCCCAACATCCTGACTACAAAAATATCATCAGTAATCCTCAGGAATTCGCGGAGGTCTCGCCTGACGGTGGATGCATGCTTAACTGTGGAATGATTCTCGATTGTGGTCACATTTGCAAGTATTTTCCATTATTTTTTGAGCAAGAAGTTCAAGGTTTATAAAAATACTTATCACATTTGCTACAGGTCCATATAAATGTCATCCTGATGACCTTAAGTTTGTAGACTACTGTATTTTTTTGTTTCGATCGATTAGAATTACAAAATCTAATGACGATTCCTATTTATTCACATTATGTAGCCATATCTCAGTTATCTGCGAGAAGCCATGTATCCGATTGCGTAATTGCGGTCATCCTTGTAAGTTATAAATATTTAATTTAAATGATGGTTATGCATTAATAATCAAATTGTTATATGTGCATATAGGCGAACTTACATGTGGAGAGAAATGCGGGAAATGCGATTTTCGAGTTGGTAATATTGACTTGCCTTGCGGTCATGTTTTAAAAAACGCAGTATGCTATCAAAGGCAAAATCCAGAGGATGTCCTGTGCAAAATCAAGGTTTCCAAAAAAATGCGTAATTATTTGTTTTTGAATTTTACATCTTTTAACGGTTTCTACCAAAATCAGTAAAATCGATTATTTTATTTAGCTAAATGTGAACACGAGATTATTGTGAATGTGCGTGACGCGTTATTCGTTACCCTGTAAATCTTTACAATATTATTAACCTATTTTAATTTTGTTAGTGCCATGAGTCAACCGATAATATGAAATGTCATGAACTTTGTGGTTTTCTACTTTCGGAGTGTGGACACTCGTAAGATTTAGATGTTTTCCAGATTTTATTAAAAAAATTTGGATCTAAAATGCGTTAATAATATTTTTGATCTCTTATAGGTGCAAATCAGAGTGTTGGGAATGTCAGAAAGAGTCCATTAAGGTCAACAATGGCACACCTCAAATTGATGAAAATGAGAATGTTAGGCGAACCAATCATAAAGGATGCAAACAAAAGTGTTCGAGGAATCAATTTTGTGGTCACATGTTTGTATTTATTTCGTATATGGACTTGAGGGAAACAATGATAATTCTTGAAACATAAAACATTGATATATATTATATGTCCGTGTTTTAATAATATAACTAGTTGTAATGAAACGTGCCATAAGAACAATCCTTGCCCTGGATGTAAGGATGTGTGTAATGTTTCTTGCGTCCACTCAAAGTGCAAAACCAAGTGCGGCATACCTTGCTCGGTGTGTGCGGAGCGGTGCAATTGGTCGTGTGAACACGAAGGTCAGTTGTTATTATACATCGTTAATATTTTTATTTTACCGAATGGTATTGATTTTACAATAAAATAGGCGAATGCAACCTTCCATGCGGCGTGCCTTGTTCAAGGTTAATTTCAATTTCCGATTTTTAACAAATTTTCTATACTTTTGGAATCTCAACCAAGTATTTTCGTATTTCACTTAGATTACCATGTAATAAGCATTGCCAAAAGCTTCTTGAGTGTGGACACAAATGGCGAGTTATAACACCAGTTACTTCCATATATGCATGAGCCTCAACTAATATTCATGATGTATCTTCTAACTTGTACAGCTTTGGTATTTGTGGGGAAGTTTGTCCTTCCTCCAAATTCTGTGTGGAATGTGCTCCGGAGAATGTAAAGAGCCAAGGTATTCATCGAATTTCACTTGATATGTGGGGTTAAAAGCTACATGTTGTTTATTTCATTTAAATTAACCGCAATCGACATTTAGTTGTTGATTTGATTATGCAAACTACTTTCGCTGAAACTGATTGGAACACGGAGCTTATGGTGGTTCTTGAATGCGATCATGTATTTACCGCCGAAACATTAGATGGATTTTTAGAGGTAAGCTATTTGTGACGTTTTTATCTCAGTACATTGAATATTAACTAGTCTATGTTTATTTATCATCAAAAAGATGAATGAATTTTACCAAGGTGATGACCTAGGAAATTGGCTTAACATAAAACCGATCGTTGATCAGCCAGGAGAACTTAAATACTGTCCCAATTGTCGTAAGCTAATTAAAAATGTTTATCGCTATGGACGGGTAATCAAGAAGCGTATTCTTGATACCCAGAATAGAAAGTTTTTGATGCATTACGATTCACGATTAAAGATAATAGAAAATGATTTAGAAAAGGTCACAAATCGTTTGGAGAACAACCGAAAAGAAATTATTGTAAAGTTAAATGACATTCATCTCACTCAAGCTGGACAAGTTTCCGTAAAATCGAATGTAAAAATAATCGACAATACCCAGCTAGATATTACTCCACGAGAGCGTTTTGAAAGGCTTGAGCATTATTATTCGATACCGTCGTATCACGAGAGATTATGGAGTAGGCACGTGAAGTCCCTTCTCTATTATTATAAAGAAGTTTACTTTCTGATGTCTAGGATCATTAATCCTCCACATAAGCTCGCTTATGATGCTGCTGTATCGAGTTTGTAAGTCTGTTTAACACTAGATTCTCTTCATGGTGCAAATTCACTACATATGACAAACTTATCATATTACATAGGTTCAAGAAAAAATCAGAAGTACAAATGGACAAACTAATCGAGGATATGCGTTCGTTAAACATAATGCTTGATGATTCTGTTGATACCCAAAATCGTCGACTTCAAGAAAGTTTGAAAGAGGTCGGAATTACAACTCCTAAAATTGACAGGTAGAACATATTGATATTTGACAAATGTTGTTATTACATTACATTAATGAAATATTATTTGTTATTGCGCGTAGACGAATCTATCTCGATGCACTTTTTATGATGCTCAATATTCGAAAAGCACTATTCCACGAGGTATCATCGATTATTAGCGGATTAACCCGGACGACGCTCCCGAATTATAAAGACGAATGGCTCAAGTTCTCCAAATTCTTGATAAAATCCACCAAGTCACATCTAGAGTTGATCAAAAAGACTGCATCAGAAACCCAATATAAACGTCATTTAGTTACAGCATTGTTAGGATCGGTTGAGTTTAAGTGTGCAGTTGGGAGATTTGAACTAAGGAATCCCCCTTCTGGCGTGATGAATCTTTTGATGAAAAAACGAATTATGGATAAATGTCAAAAGATTGAACAGCGTTGTTTACCTATTCGCGATTTACTTCGTGAGATAAACTTGGAACACTTTGTGCAGCAATGTAATGTTCGTGTTGACGAAGTTATTAAAGACGCTCGAGAACTTTATATTGCCGCAGAAAATTCTGGAGAATTATCAAGGGAGGAAAAATTAATGATTCACAATGCAATGAGTGGTGAGTTTCATGGATCAGGTCATTGGTATCAGTGTCCTAACGGTCATGTATACACGATTGGGGAGTGTGGAATGGCCATGCAGAGCAGTAGATGCCCGGAATGTGGGACGGCTATTGGAGGAGGTGAGCACAGATTTATTGCAGGAAACGTGAGGAACGAGGAATTTGATAATATGCAATGATCACGTGATCATAGATAAAATGGATTTGGGAGAATGATTTTATAACGAATGTTTTTACTATTTTATGAGAATTCCATTTGCTAGCCGCATATCATGAAAAACTTTGAATTTCAGTTTTCTTTATTATTTGATAGAAATTTGCATGTCCAACATAGTAAAGGGTTGATTGTAATTTCTTGGATTCTTTATTTTTAAAAGTAACGGTTAATTAAATAACCAATTATTATTATTACTTATTATAAAATATAAAATATGTAATAAAGTAAATTGAAGGTATATACGTACATATACTGTATATGCACTGTGGGTAGCTTTCTGTTTATATAACGTTTATTCTCTTTAAACCGATTATTGTTTTTTTTTTTTACAATATTGACAATATTATTATAAAAATGTATTCTCTATCTTTGTTACTTATTTTTGTTGTGATTTTTTATGATTCAAAAAAAAACAAAAAAACAAAATTAATATTATAGATAATTTTGGTAAATACAGTATTATTAAAAAAAATATATTATCGCAAAATATTGCTACAATTTTATTAATTATAATTATCGAGGATAAATGAATCTACTGATTTTTTTGATGCATAACTACTTCTATTCGATGATATGGATAACGGTCTTCCAGCCTCATTTGTTCTTTCAGGTGGAGATGGAAATGCGTCTTCAACCTTCACTTTTAAATCAATCGGATTTTCCATCGTCGTTGGTTCAAATGACATGGGATCTCTATGGAAGTTTTGATTATCCGTCAAAGTTATATCACTATAACGACTTCTATTTTCCCACGAATAACTATTATCTTCAATGTCTTTAGGTGGTGGGGTAAGGGAAAATCGAACAGGAGAGCCGTTCTTTAACTTTATAGATATTGTGGATAATCTATTCAACTGTGTGGTCGGAGAATCCAAATTATCTTCAAAACCAAATTTTTGTTTTGTAAATGGATCATTCCCCACGAACTCTGGCGATTCCTGTGCAATTTCTCGATTGATATTTACATCTCTTTTAAGACTCGAATCTTGACTTCTTTTGCCACCATATCGCCTATAAACAAAATATGCCGTTAACCCGACAATTAAAAAGAGTATAAAAATTACTGTTAAAATTACAATTGGAAGCATGCTCGGCAAATAACTGTCCGTTGACCCTGGGGTTTTTGTTGAGCTCATAGTTTGAACATTGATCTGTGTTGGAGATTCAGAGGGACCATTTGAGACAGTAGGACCAGAATAAAATTTACTAGCCGAATATGGATCTTCTGATATTGAAGATGTCACCGGTATTATTGGAGAAGTAGGCGTGGGTGAAATTGAGATTGTTATTATGATAGTTTGAGGGATAGTATTCGGCAAACTTTGAGCGGACGGAAGTGAGGGAAGGCTGGGAAGAGGAGGCAAAGATGGTAATGCGGGCAAAGTGGGCAAAGACGGTAACGTTGGCAGAGACGGTAATGTGTCCATAGATGATGTGGATTGAGAAATGAGATCCGTGACTTCGCGTTTTATTCTACCTTGACGTTTGCGCTTTCCCCAGACATTTTCTTTGTCCCGAGAATTATTATTTCTTTTGTATATTTGTCGTCGTTTATGGTTGACCATGTTGACAATTCTTTTTCGTCATGGAAACCAAAAAGCAGACTAGAACAAAATTAGGGAATGTAAAAAGTCCAAATAGGACTGTCCTTTGATGTGGAAGTCAGAGCTTGTTGGTGATTAAAGGCAATGAAAAAATAATTTGTTTCAAGAAAATATTCTTTTTTATGTACCTGATGAGGAATTTCACGCGTGGTGTCACAATTAGAGGGAATTGCATAATCGAAATTTGATTAAATTGGTTTAAATTCATCCAAAACTTTATTCACGGTTACTTGTTAAACTTCACATAGAAACATCAGTTGTATTAAAGAAGACATGAATGAATGTATAAATCACGTCCGTTATGGGAAACAAGCGATCGCGTAGATACTGGTTAAATTTATTGCTACTGTGCATTCAGGCTTGGTGGCTAATATGCATATATTGATTATGCCAAATGTAGCTTTTTATTTACCAGAGTTGCCATATTAATCAAAAAAATCCGAATTGGAAGATGTGATTGTTTTACAACTTTAGAAATTTATTGTAATGTCGTTAAATTGACTATCTAAATTTGGTAATAAAAATAATAATAATGATGTTATTAATACCGATTTTGTGTAATATGAGTAAAAATATAGGTTTTGATCATTTGACGTACTGTATATCTTTATCCATTCAGGGTACAAGACACAAAATCTTATTTCAAAATCGAAGGAAAGGTGTGCTGCTAACTTAATGTCGTATGTACTTTAGACTTTCTGTTCACTAATCGACACTCTTTATCCTATCACCATATATAGACTTTATTGATTGAAATATAAACTCGTTTCACAGGGTATATCATTATACATATATTTAAATTAATTATCTAATGCATTATACAATAACAAAATACTTGGGATTATACGATATCGACCATTCGGATTTAAATATAATTGCTTACACTTTATTAACATTCATATAAAATTATTATAAATAAATAAATACGTATCTTAATAGATTTGTTTTTTAAATTTGTTTGTATTGACTAATTATTTATAAATTTGTTTTTTAGTTAAGAAAACAGATGTCCCAAATTACGATTATTTATAATAAAATATGCAATGTGTAAAAAAAAACTGTAATTATATTTTTATTTATAATTTAATTAAATTAAATAAAATTTTAAAATCAACATTTTTAAAATTATAAGAAACAAGTTTGCATTTAATTATTTTTATCAATTTATTATTATTATTATTTATTAAAACAAATACTTTGCAATTAAAAAAAAATAATAATTTAAAATTTCTAAATACAAAATTATATATATGGTATGTCAAAAACAAGAATTTTAAATAGTATTTATGATAAAAAAATTTTTTTAAACTATATTTGTACAAAAAAATTTTTAATTAAAAAAATTTTTTATAGTTAATTATATTTATTTTTAAAATTTTTTATTTATGCTAATTTATATTAAAAAAATATTTTATATTTTTTTTATAATTTAAAAACTTAAGAATTTTAAATATATTAATATAATAAAATAAAATTTTTAATTAAAGTTTATTTAAATTAAAGATTTTATTTATAAAAAAAATGATTTATAACAGTTTTTTTCTTTTCTTTTTTTTTAAGATTGAAATAGATATTAAATATGAAATTTTATTAATATATATATTATTATAATTATATCAAATATTCTACTTTACCAATTGGTAAAGTTTAATATTATACTGTTAAATTATTATTAGCCAATATGATTATTTATAACAATTTCAATTTATTCAACTATATATAACTTTAAATATTCAATAAACAGTTTTATATATCAAATAAGATTTCTATAAAAAATAAAAGGTTTGCTATTAATTTAAATTATTTAAATTATTAAGTTTTATTATAACTATACATATGTTTGTATTTAATTTAACCATTTTTCAAAAACTGTATTATGTTCATATTACCAAGTAACAATTAATAAGTAATTGAAAATCATATTTAATTCAAAATCATATTGTCAATTCAATTTTCTTTTATGATAATAAGAAAACATGTATAGTTTTAACTATATCTATTATAAAAAAATATATTATTATTTTTTTTTTTAATTCCACAATCAGATTGATATCATTTATTTATTAAATTATAAAGAACCATTACATATACAAGAATATATGCAAAGTACAAATTTCCTTGACCCAACTTACTCGTATTTAGCCGAAGCCTTTAGATGTGATTTATGGAAGTAATATATTGTTTTCCTAAAGGATGGAATTAAGATCTCAAACTTCTAATAAAATCCAAACCTGCAGATCACCTTTATAGTCACAATCATAAATCCAAATTGTGTCACCCCTCTTGTAGAAACTATGCAAGGGAAAAAAGAAATAAAAAAGAAATTTTTTTGATAAAGAAAAAAGAAAAAAAAACTATTATTTATTCTAATTATTATTAAAAAGGTTATCTCAGTGAACTTAAAATCCAAGTCCCTCATGGTTTCCCACTTCTCACCATCTGTGGCCAGTTAAACTGTTTAATTTCTATTGGAGTAATCAATGTTCAAGAACATTTCCAGAAAAGTATTTCTTGAAACTTTATACTTGAAGACTTTTAACCAGAAAGAATGTTAGTTTTCTATTGTTGATTGCTCTCCCAAGCCATGTCTTCTGGAATTATTGCTTCACTCAATTAATGAATAGTTTCAAGATCTCTTTCTCCAACTATTTTTAGGATAAATATCAGTACTTTAACTTGTTACCAAATTGGAATAGGACCTAAACCTTGTTGCTATTTCCTGTCCTAAAAAAAGAATAGAAAAGAAAAAATAAAATAAAAGAATGAAAACAAAAAGGTATTGCTCCTCTTCTACTCACAACTTCTACTTCATCTAATACTCCCATACTACTTCTTCAATCAAAAACTATTCAACTCTTTTAGGAACCAATCACATTATCAGTTTAGTATTGCATAACTGAAAACATGTAAGAAGTACGTGTCTTGTTTACTTTTTCTGAAGCTAACATGATTAATCAATCCGTGGCCTTAACTAATTATCTTTCAGAAGATCTGGTGTAACCAAAAATTCAGGGTCAAACTGAAATAGGCAAAATTCTTTAGAAAAACTAGAAAAAAGAAAGCACGCTTGAGAAAAAAGAAGAGAAAGTCAAAGAGATGATGGAAAAACTGGAGACTTCTTTGTTCTTGTTTCTCTAAATTCTTAAATATTTTAGGAATCTTTGGAGGGTGTTTTTTCTTGTCAATTTTTTTCCTAGAAAGATGTTCTTGCTATAGACCTTTTAAGTAAGTTTCTTGTATTTAGTTACTAAAATAAACAAGAAAAGTATTTTGAAAAAGAAAAATAAAACAAGTGGTAGCTTCTACTTGCTCTGCTGGTTAAGGAATCAGTGTTATTAAGGAAAGTATATAGACTTTATTATCATAAATACAAAAAGTCTTTTGAAAATGTTTGTTTTTTTAGGTTGATAAAAGAATTAGCAGAAAGAGTTTTTATTTATTTTTTTTTTTGAAGGAGCGAATGGCTATCGCGCTTTCATTTGTTGTTATTTTTTTAGAATTTCGGGTTACAAGAT